CCTACACCTGCTACTTGTGCTACACCAACTACCACTAAGAATACTACTATCACAATGCTACTGCTCATCCTGCTGCCATTCCTCCTACCACTATTACTACCATTACTATTTCTACTACTACTACTACTACTACTACCACCACCACTACCACTACCACTACCACGACCACGACCACTACCACTACCACTACCACTATACTACCACTACCACCTACGACGACGACGGCGGCGGCGGCGGCTGTTGCTGCTGCTGCTGCTGCTCCTGCTCCTACTCCTACGTCTCCTGCTGCTGCTGCTGCTGCTGCTGCTAGAGATTTTGGTAGCGTTCGGTTGCCTGGGTTTTGCACGAGGCTTGAGTAGAATGGTTGGGTTGTCCGAGGTGGTCTGCTGTAGCCACCCAACGAAAGCGCTGAAGCACCTAAGGATGATGAGCATCGATGAGACGCTCATGTGCAGTTTTAAGGCCACGCTGTGTCCTTAGGACTTTCAGGGTGCTCGCAGCGTATATATATATATATAAGTAAATAAATAACTAAATATAAATATATATATATATATATATGTATGTGTATAGTACACTGAGAGGAAGACTCACGCGCAGGCCTTCCTGGAGCTTCGGCTTGGCATGTAGGGTTGGAAGATTAAAACGCCCAACTGGCTGGCACCCTTGTACCATGTTTGGCGTCTTGACCACATGGTGCAGCAAAGAGTATCCTGAGTTAGGCTTTCGGGTTTAGGGTCTAGGGCTACCTAGTGATTGTTCCTTTCTGCAGGATAAAGGACATCAAAGTATGTACCACATATATGTATATATATATATATACAAATCATGTATGTACACACATATTTGTTATTATTATTATCATCATTATGATTATGGTTGTTAGGATTACTATATACACATACACATAGTTGTACTTGCTTGAAGTGGTTCACTTAGCCAGAAGTTGAACTTTAGGCTTCTTAGTAGAGGTCATACGATATATATATATATACATATATACATATACATATTTCTCTGCCTGGTTATTGGCGAAGTAAGTTCAAAAGACGTCGGAAAGCTTGAAACGACAGAAGCCGCAGCGCAGGTCCTCAAGCCAGTGAAAGGCAAGAAGTGACCTGCAACTTGGAAGGCACAGCGTTTCGGGTTTAGGGTTTGTAGGGTCTTAGGGTTTAAGGTTTAGGGTTCGGGTGTTGCGCTGGCTCGATGGCTCAGATGTCCTGTTGCTTTAAGCTAATGTTGCTGGAACGTGCGCTTATGCTGTTTGTTTGGGCTTGCTGGCCACCACCCTAAGATTCTCAACTTCTAGCCAGTGATGTCCATCCCAGTGCGTATGGGGTTTTGGGACTTCAGGTGTCAAGGTTCAGTGTAGGGTCATCAGGGCTTTTGGTTGAGGGGCAGTTGGGGCCCGATGAAGGGTTGGTTGGGACCCGAAGCTGTTCATCCAGGTTTATGCAGGTGGAAAGGTTCCCATGGAAACAAAGCATGATAACCCTAAACCCTAAATCCTAAGCCGGCTGGACAACCTTATGAATTCGAACTCCAACCCTGAAAACATGCAAAATGTCATATGCATCCCTCACACCCAAGCAGAGGCAACAAATGGCTGTGGCCCTTATTTCCCTTTTTTGAGGGCTTAGGTTCCCTTATGAACCCCTGTACACCAAAAAGGGATCTTTTGTTTGGAGGGTTTGGGCAGATCTGGGAAGGGTTGTGTCTGGTTTCGGGAACCCCCTGCCAGGCCGAAGGCGGAATCTGGAAAAGGAGGGGCTCGTTTTCTATAATCTAGCTTCTTAGATTCTAAAAGAAAGCGAGGGGCTCATTTTCTTGATCTACTCGTCCGGGGATGCAAAGCCCAAGCTGGAGAAATGCCCTAGTTGCCTGCGACTGGAGGCCCTGAAAGGAGAGCATTTGTGGTCCCAAAGCTGAGAGGGCACCCTGCTTAGTACTGCGGCGCGCGTTTTTTTTTTTTTTTGTGTGTTTGTTGCTGCTCGCAACTTTGAAATGTTGGGTACTAGCACTAGCTCTCGGCCGGGACCCTCGCCCTAAACCCTCCAAACCCTACACCCGAAACCCAGGTTTCCCAAGCGAGATCTTTGGGTGTTTCCAAGGTCGCACAGGAGTCGCGCTCCGCCCGTGGTGCGAGTTCAACAGCTAGGTTGGACGCCTGAGAGTGGGAGGCAGGGTCCTCCACGTTTGCAGGTTTTACTGTTAGGGTTTACTATTTAAAGCTTAGGGTTTAGGGTGACACAGGTTCTAGGTATCAGGTTTGAGATGGTGAAAAGTCTAGGCCTGTGCTGGTGATGATAATCATACACCAGCCTGATCAACAGCCAGAGGAGCCTCATGACACCAGAAGTGCAATATAGGGGATCGGAAGAAGTACTGCCAGTATTCCCTTCTGTCCCTATACTACACATATATGTATATATGTATATATACTATAATACATTTTAGGCCCCTATATTGGATGGGCTAGGTGAACCCCCTAAACCCTAAGTCACCGGTCCATCTTTCACGTACAGCCCAGATCTTGCAGGTTTTTGGGGCGGTTTTCATATCCTCAGACCTTCTCGGGCCTCTGAGACCCGAAAGTTCACCGAGTTTAGGGTTTAGTGTTGATATTGACACTAGTGCAGGAAACTTAACATTTTACCTTTTCACTGTAAGTTGTGCACCGAATTTAGGGTTTAGGGTTGATATAGGGTTTGGGATTCAGGGTCTTGCGGAGGGTGGTCCAAAGTAGAGAAAAAGACCGCTTATTTCCCAGGCTCGGGCAGCAAGGTAGCTCATTTCTTAGGGCTTCTGCAGCTAAGTGCTCACGGAAGTCTAGGGCAGAGGGTTGAAAGTTTAGCTTGCCATTGCGTTTTGAGGGTTTAGAGCTTCGGGTTAAGCCTAAAGCCTAAACCCAAAAGGGCTTGGGGTTCAGAATCATGAGGCTCCAGTGTTTCCCGGCGCAGTCGGAAACAGGGCATTGTTTTTTCCCCAGTGTGTCCAGAGCACCCGAACACCCGCAGACCCGAACATGATGCTTTGGGTCCGGGGTGTTCGGTTTTTCTGGGTTGTTGCTCTCTGAGTTTCACAGTCGGCTGTGAGCATGCCTTCGTGGCAACACTCTTGGTCCACCGGCGGCACGATGGAACTGTCCACCCGGGGCAGGCACCACCGCGCTTGACTGCAAGAGATGCGTTGCGCGGACATAGAACCGAGGTTTGAAACTTCTTAGGGGTGGTGGGCTGGGAGGCTTTTTGTTTTTTAGGTTGTTTTTGAGCTTCGGCATTTTTTCGCACTGTTACGAACCACGTCTTGTTATTGGCTTTCGTCCACATGTCGGGTCATTGCGAACCACACTGCTCAACGGAACTTGACACTAAGCCCTCACTCGCTTCATGGGCACTTAGGGGGCTTTCGAGAGGTCATTCGGGAATGCTGTGGGAACATGCGATGCAAAGCGGGAACTCCCAAATGCTGCACGCCTGCATCTTGCAGAATGCCGGTGTGGCTGGAGGTCGCAGCAACAGCTGCCACAGCTGCAGAGACCGGAGGAGCCTTCCACGGGTTTTGTTGAGGAGCCTGCGGCACTGTGATCTCTCAATCCTAGAAAGTATAGGCCCACAAGCATGCTACAGAGTTATTCAGTCCTCCGTATCTGCCGGATGTGACCCTTCAAGGCCTGAGGCGTACTGAACATGTCTACATACATATACATGTGAACATGTGTTCCGAAACGTTGTATGCATGCATGCATGCAATATATGGGTCACTCTCCCATTCTCTCTCTCGCTCTCGCGCTTTCTCTTTTCTATCCTTCAACCTTGCTAGCCTTTATCTTTCTATCTTTCTATCTCTCGCTCTTGCTCTCCCTCTCGCTCTCGCGCGCTCGCTCTCTCTCTCCTCTCTCTCTCTCTCTTTCTCTCTCTCTCTCTCTCTCCCTGTGTATATATATATGTCTCAGAGATGTAAAAGCACTGTTCTCATGCTCGGTGCTTAGACCCTGAGTTTTGGCAGCAACAATGAAGTGGAGTTGTTGCATGGATGCCGTAAGTAGGCAAGTGTCCCAAGAACAGCACAGCGTCAGTGGCATTGTGCGCAGTCCGCTGGACAAATCCTCCCAAGTTGCTTGGCAACCCGTGATGGGGCTGCTATCTCGGCATGAGCGAAGTCTTGCAAAGCATGGCTGTTGTTGCAATCGCTTTCAACCCGTGTTGTTTGGACGCACAATAGTCTTGTAGAGTTTAGGTTAGAGCTCATCAGCTTCTACGCAAAGGGCACAGCTCGATTTCACGCAGTTTGCGTGAAACGGACCTGGATCGCATGCTTGGTAGATTTCGCTTTAAAGAGCCTGGGTGCTTGCAAATCTGCAAGTAAGTCTTCAATGCCCTCGCTGGCAAGATTCTGCCATTTTGCTGCAACGCCTGGACTCAAAAAAGCTGCGTGGGCACCTCAGCCCCCAACGACTCCACGAGTCTATCGGTTCCGGCCGCTAGGGTTGTAGGGTTTAGGGTTTAGGGTTAAGGACCCTAAACCCTAAACCCTAAACCCTAAACCCTAAACCCTAAACCCTAAACCCTAACCCCGGAGAGTGCAGAGCGGTGGCATCGAGGAGCCCAGGGGCATAGAAAGCACCGGAAAAGTCCCCCGGACTCAGCATGTCAAGTGACGGTCTGCTCCTCATTCCGAGATGGAAATCAAGTTATCGTACTGATAAAACAACATAAGAAATCTAACAGGATCCTAATATAGTAATACGAACAGTATAAGAACATATTTGTATCACAACATGACTTTTGGGTATCAGGCTCTTAGGTTTTGTGAGGTGATGCACCACGTATTGACAGCAATTCCCGGCCGAGCCCACTCCAGGTTTAGGGTTTGGGGTTTGGGGTTTGGGGTTTAGGGTTTAGGGTTTAGGGTTTAGGGTTTAGGAAACATCAGGGGTTCACAACAACCCAAAGAGCTTTCAAACAATCAGCCGACAGCTTCCCCGATGCTTGCGCAAGGTGCATGGACGACATCCGAGCAGATGAAGATGCCTGGCAATGTCCTGTGTGCAACAACAAGCTACACGACACCGAGGAGAGGGTTCGGGCTCGCAGTACAGGCCAAGAGCATACTTGAGGCTCAAAGGGTTCAGGTCTGCGCATGGCCGAACTCCGGGGTTCTGGAAGGGGTGGGGCGTGGGAGCGGTATTTCGTGGATGCACTTTTTTGTATCGGAAACAACATGTCTTACTTTTTTTGCGGGCAGGGATTACAAGCCTGCAGCCTCAAATCTAGGGACGCTGAGACCCTAAACCCTCAACGGCGCACGCACCCCTGATCATGACCCCCAGTTAATAAAGATCTTGTGATTTGTAGAATGCACTTCGTTAAGGAATGGAGCACAGCCTGTGGTTGCGCGTTCGCAACCGACTTTGATGTCCGGATCCTTGCCTGCTGTGCGCGAGCTTGCGAGCATGAGGCTCTGAGAGTCGAAACGCCTAAGCTCCCAAACGCGCAAATCGAGAAGCGCACCAAGCAAAAGCTTCATCCCGAAACCGTAAACTCCTGAAGCCATGAGCCCAGAGGACTGCGCAAGAGGCTGGCTGAGGCTGAGGCAGCGGCGCCCTCGGCCCATCTCGTGACAATCGCACTGACACGGATTAGGGGGCTTAGGGGCCTACACCCGCTAAACCCCAAACCGGTCTGCTTGGCGCTTTAAAAAGGGCTTGAGGGTATAGGTGGTAAAATGGTCCAGGCGCTAGCGAGGGGGGGGGGCGGTGAGTTGTGGTTTCGGCGCTCCCAGAGCAAACTTAGTCCCAACCTTGTCTGATTGCCCCAACGGCGTTGAGAAATGGAAAGCCGCATTTTCATCTGCCGGGTCAAGTCGATGAGTGTTTCAAACCGGTGCATAAGCGCCACAAGCCCTGCAGCCTTCATGTTCCTCACATACATGGGGGCCACATGGGGGGGGTGGGTTGTTCAAACTGCGAGTCCGCTTTTCGGATGATGCCCCCCCCTTTGAAAGATGGGCCTTGGGGTTCGAGCAGCCCCCGCATGACTTACTTTTGCTTAGTAGGGAATGAGGGAATGAGGTACCCTATATCCCCCTATATATGGGATTATATAGCCTCATTCCCTACTACCAACAGTAAGATGATCCAGGTCATGCCCAACATGTCGATCAGCAGCTTTTCCACCGCCAGAGGAGGCCTGGCCACTGTCTAGAAGTCATCTCGCACAGGGGTGACACTACACCAAAACACACTCCCTTCTTGAGGCCACTCTGGGGAGGTAGGTTTCCAAGACGAACAAGAGGGTTGCGGGCTCCAGGCAAACGGAAGAGATCCTTTGGCGTATTGTCTGCATGATATATATATATATATGTATATATTGACACACACAGACATATATAGATGTATATACACACATAATGTATGTGTGTATGCATGCATATATATATATATATTACATTACACATCATTGTGAAGTATCCCTCCTGCAGCTGGTCGGTTGATATCTTGTATACGCAGATATATATATTTTTGAATTATGTTGACATCGTCACTATATGTGATACACATATTATTATATATACATATGCATATAACGTGTGTTTTAGTTAATGGGGCTTTTGCGGTATGTTCTTCAGCCGGGGCGGGGCCGCCTTTTTGCTAACATGTTAACTATGTAATGACATCCAAGAAGGGTCACCGCGAGAGGCCAGGCACTGCATAGTACATAGGTTGGGATGTTCCCCCATATACTAAGAGTCCTTCATAGAGATTATACTCGGCGTACTATGATCCCTATTAAGGACTGTTAGTATAAGGATGAACATCCCAACCCGTAGGTCCAGAAGGCTCGATAGGCATCTTTCTGGTCGTTCGAGCACATATGTACTTTGCCCGTGCTAAGAGAGAGGGCAGTTGGTTTTATGTAGAGTGCTTGCGTTGACCGCGTGAGTTGCTGCACAGCTGCTTTGCTCCAACATGAAACCGCGGCACGCAAAACCACATGCAACACCAGTGCCATCGCTGAAAGTGCACAGTCCAGTCAGCCTGCGTCCTGAAAACTCCAGGACCAAAACACATGCCAAGCTTATAGCAGAGAAACAAGAGCTGGTGACACGTATAGAAACCCGTGCAGTCGGGCCTGCCAACATTTGACAGCAGTAGCAGAGCCTTGCCGGCGGCCGTGCTCATGGGCTCCAGTTCAGCTCGGGTCCTCGGACCTCCACAGACACCCCCTCCTGGACAATGCTTCACTGCTGCAGACTCTCAAAGACTACGCGTCCGGGGGCGGCATATCCGGAATGGAGGTGTGCTGTCGTTCGATTGGCCATGCACCAGCTTCTCCTTCAAGACCCGCTCTTCATGTGTTTGGTTGCGGATGGATGGCGCCCAGAACTACTTCAATGTCCTCGTGAACGGTTGCTTGCTTCTCGTGCTCAAGACCTACACGCTCCTTCGCGACTACCGCATCAACATTCCCCTTGGCTCTGGGGAGCCAGTCTTGGTTGAGGTACAGAAGCGCACAGAGTCACAAATCGGGAGCATGTTCCGAAAGTCGACTGGCTTGGTCGTGTTGCATGGCATCGTCTCATCGAGCGAATTGGAAGAGCTACCTGCAGACGAGGGCACGCGCCGTTTGGAGTTCCTTGGGGATTCCGAGACCTCCGGATTTGGCAATCAGGGCCCGAGCCAACCCGGTGCGCCAGGCCTGCGCTCCATGCTCACGATGCATGCCTCGCACCTATATCCTCCTTGGGAATTATTTTTTATTTTTGTTAATATAGAACCCAAGAGGATATTAAAAATATTTTTTTATTAAGGTTCTAAGAGGAGTGAAGGCACCAGGATGCAAACCAAGCCTGGCCAGCGCTGGTCGCAGGAGACCTGGGAGCCGACTTCCACAACATCGCCTGGAGCGGCGCAGGAGTCGTTTGGAATGCCGCCGGCTGCACAGCGGACGTGCCTTTCCATGACCTCTACCTGAGATCTTGCGGGACGTTGCAGACACCCACCATCGACGAGTCCGACTGGAAGCCAAACGCCACCGTTGTGTACTTAGGCGGGAACGACTGGTGGTCGCTGTCCTCACGAGGGGACGATGCCCTGATCTACGGGTTGCGTGAGTTCCTCACGCGACTTCGTGCTTACAGGCCAGAGGTTCCAATCTGCATCTTGCTGGCATCGCCAAGTTCAGTATGCGCCTGTATTGGCAGCATGGAAGATCAGGCGGCCTTTGCGGCCGACATGTCCCGGTGTTGGCGTGCAGCTGCGGAATTCCTTGGAGACGAGAAGATCTTCTTGGAGGAGGTCGCACCGGACCCTCCTTGCTTGCTGTCCAATCCTGGAGACTGGGGGCAATTGGGGCATTGGTCCGTGGAGGGGAACAAGAAGTGGGCAGCAGCTGTGGTTCCGATTCTGCGAGCGCGTCTAGGATGGGCTGACGAGCGCAACATCTGAGGGCACACCAATGGTGCTTTCGGACGGCGATGATTGTGAGACTTTTGGTGCGGTGTCCGGGCTGATGGGCCCATGCCGCAGTGACGGAGAAACAGTCGTAAAAAGATCTTTCTATGAGGCCGGTGGGCATGTGCATAGCTTCATGGTCTTCATCGCGAGAGTTCAAGCATGAAGGGACTAAAGGAGGGACCCTTACCAGGAACCCTGGGGTTCTTTGGCGGCGGTTCTTTAGATAGGGACTATATAAAGTTCATAAGGGTCTAGGGTTTACGGTTTAGGGTTTAAGGTCAAGGTCCCCTTACAAGCAGGTCGCTGCCCCCCTCCGAAGCCGCCGTCGGCCCCCGCGTGCGCTGTCGGAAGAGGCCGGGGAACGTGCAAGCGTGGTTAGGGTTTGGGCCTTGGAGCCTAAACCCTAAACCCAAAACCCCAAACTCTAATAGGTAACGTCCGAATCCTACAGCTGCCCTACCAAGAGTAGATGTCTTTGTGCTTCGGGTTTCGGGTTGCCGTTCATGCTTGCTCTCAGTCTGTTCCGACGGCCGGCTTAGGATTTCAAGGCTCTAGAAATGCGGAGTCAGCCTGCCCAAGATCCCATGGCAGCCCTCATGAAGCCCAGCACAGACACAGACACGCGCCATCTTGCCCAAACGACCCTGCAGCTTTGAGGTAGAAGGTGCAGCCCAGGCCCTTTCAACCTTATTGCCCCAAACCCTAAACCCTATGAACCCGAAACCCTATAAACCCTAAACCCTAACCCTAAACCCTAAACAATGCTGGATGGCAGCCTGGGAGCCCCCCCGTATCCAAGATCTGAAGGGTTCAGGATCCACAACTGTGTTCTTAGGGTTTAGGGTTTGGGGTATATCTGTTCATTGCAGAGAGGATCTAGGGTTCAGGGCCAAAGTTTTAGTTTTAGGGTTCATCCAAAGGCAAAAATCCCCGCAGGGCGATGTCGACTGAGACCGCTGCATAGGTGGGCACCAACCACTCCCCAACTTTGCATACCACAACTTGACCCTAAACCCTAAACCCTAAACGCCTTGGCAACGGACACGCCGCTGATGGCCGAAGCTCCTCCAGAGGAGGTGGGGCGCAGTTTTGGTGGGACGTAGGGTTGGACATCAGAAACCTAAACCCTAAACCCTAAACCTTCCGTGCGCAGGTTTAGCTGGCCTCACGTTGAGGTGGCAAGGGTGTAAGGTGCTAGGTGTGGGGCTTTCAGATGCACTTGTTTGGAGTTTCCACACGGGTCCATGTACCTAAATCGCTTACATTTGGGCCTCAAAGTATCTCCTATACACGGACTTTGGGGCCCAAGTAGAATTTAATCATAAGGTACATGGATCCTTAGGGTTCGTGCTCGGTCCAAGCCCAGTCCAGGAGGATGAGCTGCCTCTTGACATGCTGCAAGCCCATCCAGACAGTGGCCGCGCTAGCTGTTTCATGGCTAGATTGAGGGCTTAAGGGTTTCAGGGTCATAGGCGGGAGGCTGGATGCAAGAGGGTCACAGGCGGGGATAGGGAGCATGGAGTTTAGGGCCATAGGAGGGCTTGAAGGCTTTAGGATTTAGGCTTGAGTGTGGGTCACGGGCGCGCAGGCTCTGGCTTGCAGATTGTACGTCTTCCTTCAAGGCGTTTGAAGAGGATCCGAGTAGGTTCGCGATCCCAGATTTTCCTCGGGGGGGAGTGCCTGCAGTCATATGTACACATGTACTTGTACATCTATCTGTTTATCTTTTTACGTATACATATACATATATCTCTATCTATCTAGCTATTTAAATGGGGGCCCCCTCAACCAAGAAGCCCATCGCAAGGTTTTTTCGGGCTTCGGATGTTCCCCCTTAAACTAACAGCTCCTCAATCGGGATTAGAAGAGGGATGCGATCATCCCTATTCAGGACTGTTAGCCTATATAAGGGGGAACATCCCAACCTAAACCCCAAACGGTTGCCGAAGTCCAGGGGCACTAAACCCATCTAAACACCATACTACACCCCCATAACTTAAAAACCCAACCCCTTTGTTAGGGTTTAAGGAGTTGTGGGTTCAGGCCCGTTGGCAAGGGCTTAGGTTTTCGGTTTGAGGGCCAATGTTCGTCAAATCCCTTGTTTCGGAGTTGCTATTTGGGGCGAGGATGCGCAGTAGTGCCCTTATTCACTTTCTTGGCGGGGCTTAGGTTCCCGCATAAACCGCGTTAAGCACAATGGGCACCCTTGTTAAACCCCCTTAGCCCTAAACCCTAAACCCTAACCCTAATTAGGTTACTGGGCAACCTTTGGGTTGTTGTACCCAGGCCTTGAGCGCCCTCTCTTGCGCGCGGTGCGCGTGCCTTCCACCGAAGGCGCCTGGGGGGCCAGTTTGCTCGCATGCGCCTGATTTTGCGGATTCGTTCCAGGATGGGCTATTCGGCCTGCCTTAGAATCCCCAGAATCAACCTTAGGGCCTTTCTAAGGGGCTATAGGGCAGAATAGCCCGTCCTGGTTGCCATCGAATTCCTCTGTCGAGCTGAGAGTTTGCACCTCATTGCTACCCTTACATATACCTTACATAGGCCCTAAAACCTAAGTAGAGGGAACCCTAAACCCTAAACCCTAAACCCCCTCCTTTAGCCCCGTGATGCACATGCGCGAGGCGTTGTCGCGTGGTTTTCAAGCCGCATCTTCTTCAAGGAGGAATCGGCCCATTGGCGCGCTGAACCCTGAAGCAGATCTCCAAAACCCCTAAACTCCTCAAAACCTCTAAATCAGGGTTTAGGGTTTAGGGTTTAGGGTACACAGAAACCAGCAATGACTAGAGCTACTTATACCTAGAAAGTATATACTTTTTTCCCAGGGTTTTCTCCGACGTAGGATTACAATTGGGGAAAAATCCTCCACGACGTAGAGGAGTTGCTCCTTGTCGAGCCCGGCCGTCTCTTCTTCTGGGGCGTCCTCGCTGGCGCCGACCGTGACTTCCCTTAATGTTCTTTCATGAGGCATCCAGCTACTCTGCACTGCACATTCCGGTGTATGAATCCCTCAGCCCTCAACCCTAGCAAGGAATAGTTTCAGATTGCTATCGCAGGATTTCTGGCGATCGAATGCTCAGTGATGCAATTTGTTTGTCCATGTGAAGGAGGCTCCGGGTTGTCAGGTTTTCGGGCTCGGGTCTTTGTGACCTTCTTGGAGGTTGCGTTTGTTGACCGAGAGCTCTTACTAGTCCAAGGTGGAGGATTGGCGCTTTATGTTGAGTCTTCACTGGTGGTTGGCGCTCGAGAATGTAAGTTAGATGACCGTTCGAAATTAGGTTGCAGACGCTGGGAGTCGCTTGGTGGATCGAAAGTCGGCACACACCAGACGACCTTGATTGCTGATCACTGGCTTGGGGAATCCCCCCTCAGATCAAGCATGTGGCCAGCAAGACGCACACTCTTTGCAGACATGCAGAGTTTTCGGTGGTGGCGTGCGCCGGATTTGTAGAAGGCGTTTGAAGAGCGAGCCGGCGCCGAACGTTCAAGGAATCTCTGGTTCTCGCAGACACCCGCTTCATTCCGGAAGCAAGACAGGAAATTGACTTACTGCTCCGTTACGATACTGACATGTTCGCTGAGCTCATGCCCGAGAGTTCCGAAAGTTGTCAGATGTGGAAGGAGCTGAGAGACCAGGACCCAGAGTAGACCGTTATTCTCTTTTTCATGGTTTAGGTCCTTGTAAGCCCGTTTAAACTTTAACACCAACAAGGGCGCCCTTGTGATTCCTAGGTGACCCAAGGGTCCCAGGAGACGCTCAAGTCAGGAAAGCTTACCTACGAGTCACCTCGACTGAGTCGAAAACAGAGAAGTCCCGGAGTCGGACAATGCCCCTGAACCCAAGACTACTATTTCCTGAAGAGCCCCAAACCTTTAAAAAAGTCGTCCTTATAGGGGTAACATAGGGTTATTGTCTTTGTCTTTTGGGGGGGGGTCTCAAGCAAATAGTAGAAGTCGAAAACAGACAAGACCCTAGAGAAGCCCCACACAGAAAAGATCATGATCGATTTAGGGTTTCAGGGTTTAGATTTGACGCACTCGGCTTCTATTTTTCTCCTTGTTTTTTCTGACTCATGCGGTCTTGCTTTCTGACTCGTGCCGTCCTGTTTTCTGACTCGGTCTTTCTTTGCTTTCGGACTCGGCCCAGTCTGTTTTCGACGCAAATCCCCGACTCACCGGTCATCCCTGAGGGTTAAATGGCTTTAGGGTTTATAGGGCTTGGGGTTTAGGGTTTAGAAGGGTCTAAGGGTTTAGGGTTTATAGAGTTTAACACTCTTAGCGAAGCCTGGGTGTGCCAAGGCTTGCAGAAGCTGTTGATGCCCGTTTTCAGCTCGGGGCCCAGCTGAGTTGCTGGTGCTGGATCGAGGTTTGGGCTACTTAAGGTTGTATTTAGTTTTACTCACCCAGTCCAGCCTTGAAAAGGCCGGATCGGAGGTTTCAAAAGGGCATAGAGTAGGGAGCCTTCATCGTTCTCTCACGGGCTGTCGGGTCTTGCTGCGGAGCAGAGTGCACAGGCCACATCCATCGAGACGATCACTGCGAACGATATTGCTTCTCGGACGCGGTGGATCTTCTGCACTGTCGAAAGCGGCCTATATATTTGTATTGTACAATATGATACAGTACTGTATGCATATATATATATACACACATATATATATATATACAAATGAGTAATAGTACATTATGTATATATATATATATATGTATAAGTAGCGGTAGCAGTAGCAGTAGCAGTAGCAGTAGCAGTAGGAGTAGTAGTAGTAGTAGTAGTAGTAGTAGTAGTAGTAGTAGTAGTAGTAGTAGTAGTAGTCGTAGTCGTAGTCGTAGTCGTAGTCGTAGTCGTAGTCGTAGTCGTAGTCGTCGTAGTCGTAGTCGTAGTCGTAGTGGTAGTGGTAGTGGTAGTTTTAGCAGTAGTAGTAGTAGTAGTAGTAGTCGTCGTCGTCGTAGTAGTAGTAGTATGTTTATCATTCTCGTAATGTTTTTTAGGTTGGATAGTGCCAAGTCAAAGCCTTAGTCCGTGAAGCTGCTTTCATTAAAAGGTAAATTCTTGGGACTTTGCACTAGAACGAGGGCTCCTTCATTGGTTCCTTTCAGAATAGAACCCTTTTTCTTTTTCATAAAAGGGTTTAGCGTTTTCGGTTTAGAGGGTTCCATCGTTGGTGCCTGTTATAGTAAGGGCCACGCTTGAAAGAGGAGCCTACAATCTCAACAATGTGGGGGGTGCTGCTCAGGTCTACTTCACCATACCCGGGCCATTGCCAGAAGATGCGGCTCCTGTCCCGCAAGGAGGGCGTCTCCGAACTGTAGCCCTAAACCCTAAACCCCAAACCCTAAACCCCGGGGTGGATCTGGGGAGGCACGGGTACTTAGAAGTCAGTAGGCCATACTCTTGTAAGCTACAAATTTACTAGGGCATCACGGTAGGCCCGTATTTGCTTGTTTTAGGGTTTATTTACGTTCCCTTATAGAAGCCCCGTAAAACCAAAGGACACCCTCTTTTTCCCCCCCCCCCCCCGCAGGTTACTCTTGGATCTAGTTGCTTGACGTTGCATCTCCTTAAGCACGCTTACACCGCTGAGACCTCCAAGGATGGAGAGCATTAAATCAGCTTAGGGTTTAGGGTTTACGGTTTAGGGTTTGGGGTGTAGGGTGTAGGGTTTAGGGTTTAGGTCCCAAAAAATCGTCGAGGCCAACACCCCTGAACCCATTCAGGCAAGAAGGCTCCACATTCTAAAGGTCCATGTATCTATATAAGTAGATCCTTGGGCCTCAAATGGGTTCCGGTTTAGGGTTTCGGGTTTAGGGTTTAGGGTTTAGGGTCATGTTGCAAGCTGTATCAAAAAGTGCTGGCGCCGCCTCAGTACAAAAACACGGGTTTTCGGGGTGTAGGGCCCAACCCAAGATTCCCAGACCATTCTACCATCTCCTCAAAACTTACCAAACCTGGAAGCCCACGTGATGCCACAGCATTCGCAAGGCTACGATGGCTTTGCAGATTGCAGCGGCTATGTGAGGATGTGCCGCAGCCGCACGTGAATTTAAACTGACTTCGTCACCCAACCTGGGCGTTTAGGGGGTAAAAAGGTGTTACGAACGAGTCGTCTGCTGCAGGCCATCCTATCCGCACACCATCCGAAATTGCTCCTGAACGGCGTGCTGGATGGCTCTAGCATGCGATGGTTTCTTATGCTGAGTCTTCGTCCAGGGGCTTGATCTCGGGCAAGGCGCCGGTAAGATCACGTACTGAGCATTGGCCCTGTCAGGCCCGGAATATGTTTGGATTGACAAAACGGCCGTTCCACACTTCACCGGACTAAGGTACGTCTCCCATTTTCCTTGCATCTCCTGCGTGGTGGCTTGGCGGTGCAAGTCGCGCTCTTCGTTTCCCCTTTTGTTTTACTTGCACCATGGCACACACCAGCTTGTCCAACCCTAAACCCTAGAAAACCTAAACCCTAAACCCGAAGATGTTCATCCAGGGTCCTGCCTTGTTTTGGCTTAACGGGAACCAAAGACTCTAAGATCGACAGGCCAACCCTCCACTAGTTGAAAGAGGTGGAAGGGTTTAGGGTTTAGGGTTTAGGGTTTAGGGTTGACGGGGAGTGTGCATGTGCGGGAGCCGGATAAGAACCAGTTATTTTCCTTGCAAGAGCCCAGATAAAGTCATTCGTCACTCATGTACTGCACTACTCAAAGTACCCGGTATCCTTTGGGCATGGCCCAGGCCGTCATTTGCCAGTTTCTTCGGTTATTTCCAGCAGTACGCTTCGAGCTAGAGACTTGGAAGGATAGTGAGGCGCCCGCGGAATGTTTGGGAAGTGTTTCGGGTTTTGGTTTTCTGGTTGAGGGCTGGGAGTTGGTTGGACCAAAGGGTGCAAATCTCAGGAGGGTGCAGCTCAAGCAATTTGGAGCTATAGACTTCCATTGCAAGCTCAGCACCTGCTCCCGGAACAGACCATGTTATGATAGCGACCGCATCTTTCTGTAGGTTGGGCTCGGCAACGTATTGTTCCTACGGCCAGCCCAGGGTCCTCTTCAGAAGGCCCCCGGAACCCTAGAAACGCCAAAAGTCCCTGGAGTCGCAGCTCAGGACTATGACAACCTGTGGAAGACTCGCTTCGAGACCGGACGCAGGCATGCAAAGCCCGAGGCCTGGAAGATCTTCGATGTCCTGGAGGGCAAGGTCGGCGACGGGTGAGGCCTACTTCTCTGGGAGCCCAAAGGTCGTCCCATCACTATACACCCACACTTCAGCCGCGGGATCATGAGGCGGAGGCCTGAGGACGCAGCATCGAGGCCGAGCCCGAACAGCAGCCCCCGGTACATTCAAGGAACCTGGAAGGGTTGGATGGTGACCAGCGTCCAAGAGCAGGGAGTGCGCCTTCGAGGCAATGGAGGACGTCGTTGCAAAGTCCGTCGACGCACGGTGAGAGAGGGAAAGGGCGCATGCTTCAAGCAAAAGGCGCACAGCTTGCTATCCCCTCGTTCATTCCTATATTGGGCGTCTGTCTCAAAAGCTTGGGTCCCTCTCCCTCTCTATCTCCCTCTTCTCTCTCTCTCTCCCCCAAATCCTCGCCCCCGCAGCTGCCATGATTGGGCATCTATTATGTGTACATATAGATATATATGTATCCATGAATATTGTGTATATATATATATGTTATGTATTCACAGCTATGCGGCCTGGAAAAAGGAAGCCCAGAAGCCTGGAAAGCCTTTCAGACTGCCCCCTACCCCTTGCCCCCCCCTCCACCCCTTACCCGCTACCCCTACCCCCCCCCCCCCATAGAATCTTTTTGAACCTCGAGATCGAATTCCACAGAAGGCCTCGCCTTTCTTCTCAGACATCCTGCGGCCACGGAGTTTGCCACAAATTGCAGCACCTAGGCTTCCCTTGACTGACTTGGTGCCGGTCGGCTTATTATAAGCTATGTTTTGGGATGTTCCGCCTTATACAAACAGTCCTTAATCGGTATTATAAAGGGGGGGGGGGTGCTATAATCCATATTAAAGAATGTTAGTATAAGGGGCAACATCCAAGGTATGTTTTGGGTTAAGGATGGTTTAGGGTAGGATTTCGATGTTTTGGGGGAGGCTGTTCAAGGCTTGGGCAATAGAGGTCTTGCTAGTCGCAGAAGAAGCGGGGGTTGGGGGTTGGGGGTTGGAGACTTGGGACCTCATGTCGTGCCGTTTATAGAAACCGCTCAACGCTTCCGTAGAGGCTTGCTTCAGGTAGTCTGGCTTACTGGCTGAACATCCGGAACTTGTTGATCCGTTTGCGCACTGCTTGTGTGTTCTGCTCGCCATGATGAGTTCACCCGCATGAATGTGTATGCTTGGGGCTTGCGGATACAGGTTGGCAGCTTTCGTATAGGAGTAGCTGGGGTCTTGGCTGATAGGGAATTTCAAGATCAATGCACCGTGGTGTCTTCCTCCCCTGGCTTGTCCGAGATGTGAGCGGTGATGACATCCAAGGTCTCCGGCACCAACGTGTTGAGGCGCGATCGCCGTTACTATTCTCCTATTCGGTCTCTTCCGACAACCAGGTTTGCTGGGCATCCTTCTGCTGCTCCACCACTTACTGCACCTTGCAATATGCAGCTCCCACTGACTAGATTCCCAACATCGTGTAGGCAAACGCCCATTGCAGGTCGACTCCTGCTGCTGCTGCTGTTGACGCGCTGGAGGCTGTGATGAGCAGCTGATGTCCGCTTTGACACGACTTTGAGCTCACTTCGTGCGATGCGAAGCGGCTGATCTCATGCAACCCTGTTACGTTCAACTTCGGCTCGCTAAAGCAGCCCGAATGCTTCCCAATGCTCTCTTTTCGATCTTAAGGTCATGTCAAGCAATGGGTTGGGGTACCCCCCGGGTACTGTGCCCCCCTTTCAGGCCGCACTCGTGCCACCACCCCCTCCGCAGGAGGGCCCTCGGACGAGCGCGTATCCACAAACGGCCCCCAGGGGCCGCCGTCGGCCGCCAAGGCAAGCGATTTAGGTTTAGGGTTTGGGGTTTGGGGTTTAGGGTTTAGGTTTTTTTGGTTTAGGGTTTAGGGTTTAGGGTTTAGGGTTTAGGGTTTAGGGTTGTTTACCTTTGCGGCTTTGGGGTCACCTTTCAAGGCAGGTCGCTTAGGATCGCGTTGTCACTTTCCCGTGCGCCGTACACGTTTCGGAGGGATGAGAGCCCAAGGCTTTCAAATCAGCTGACAGGCCAAGATGGTCTCGGGGCTTTGCAGGATGTTTGGGAGTTTAGGAAATGTGGAGGATGCCAAGGCGTGAGGAAAGCCCATGGCCCCGTCAAGCCCAAGCCTAAGTTCAGGTTTCCTCAGTCAGTCCCGTTGACGGCAGTTACGCGCACAAGGTGCTACGATATGTTTCTTACGTATAGCAGAGCTGTTGTTGCAGGAGTTGTGAAATCACAACAACTCAGTCCTTTCAACTCAGCACCTGACCGCAAAGCGTGCTGGGCTGGGCAGGGGGCCGATGTTTGGAATGGGTTCTTCAGTTTCTCCGTTTGTTGCTTGAATTTTGGCGATGGTTCACAGGCATGGCTAGTTAAATGGCTCATGTAGGAGTTGCAGGGCTTTGGGTTTAAGAATAGAACTTGTTAGGGCTTTGTGTCTATGGGAAGTCAGACGGACCCTTAATATGTGCAGGGTACATAAGAGGTAAAGGGGTCCCCTTCAAGTTCCCAATTACCCCCACTATGCTACCCCTAGGTTTCCCCCAGAACTCAGGCTATTTAGGGAGAATAAAGCCGAATTAAGGTTTTTTATGGGGGTAACCTAGGTGGGGTAGTACAGAGGGGGGAAGTAGGGAAAGCCATGAATATTAAGGGACCATGTACCTGCCCTTGGACACAAGGGGCGGGCTTTCAGAAGTGGATTGTGGGCAGGCCAGAAGCCAATCCTGCTTCCATCGTATCGCCCGCCAGGCACCGACTTGGACAGTTTAGGGGTTAAGGGTTCCTAAACCCTAACCCCTAAACCCTAAACCCTAAACCCTTGGGTTCGAGGCTCTGAGAGCTTTGTCTTGGGCTGGAGGGGGTGGGGTTGATGAGGGCAATATAGGGATTATCTTTTTTTCTGGGGGGGGGGGGGGTGGGTTCTCAAGCAAATAACCCTGGAACCCCGGTTTCAAAGGCCACATGGAAAACCTGAACCCTAATTCCCCCGAACCTTGAAACGACTCAGAAATTCTGTGGAGCGAGCGGCAAACCCTTCCGAAGTCTCGGCCGCGCTGTCTTTTCGGGCTTGAAGCAAACGGGTTTGCATTCGTGGCGGGGATAGGGTTGGCCTCGAGATGCAAAAGGGGTCTATTTATAGTAGTGCTTAGCCAGAAAGACTCTGTCCTGCAACACCCTACACCATCCAATCTATAGAACGCCTAAGGCTTAAAGCCTTGGTTTCCCCTCAAATAGAGCCCACAAAGACGTTAGAGGTTTTTTCGGATTTTCTGCGGGTTGTAGGTTTTCTTCCCACCCAGGGCTGCGGCGGCCGCCCCCAGGGCGCGCTCGCTACCGCCGCCGGCGGGTCTGGTGCCCCGAGACGAGCTGAGGGTTCACGATATTCGGGGTCCTTAGAAAAGGGAATTGGGGGTCTATTTTGGGGGTCCCCTATTTTCGTAAATCCCCAGTTGAGGGTTTATGGTTTCGGGCTGTTGCAGGACGTGAGGTGTGCGGTAGTGTCCAGTTGAAGCTGCGCGATTTCCGGGGTGTGATGATGTTGTCACGTGAGCTTGGCAGTTTCAGGGTCCAAGGTTTGGCGTTGAAACTGAGGTTCGAGGAAGCTTCTGCTGGCAAGTCTCTTTTCGTAGGAGGTGGGGCGAGGGTCAGAGATGTGGTGCACATCATCGAAAAATAATAATATTAGTTGAAGTTTATTATTATTGTATCATTAAAATTAGTATGTTATCTAAAGGTAAGACATGAGTATGATTATGTGATTGTGTTGGGTGGGTCCTAGGCTCGCTCGGGAAGATTTGAGTGGGTTGGCGCCTAGTTCATTCAGTGCTACTCAACATGCCGTAAAGCAAGTCGCTAGGGATCTTTCCACGAACAGAAGCCGCAAGCCCATGAGACACCCATAGGTACTGGCTGGCCTCGCAATCGTTGGCAGCGGAAGCAGCGCTCGTGGTTCTACTGGCGCATAAGGCCCGCTGTGTCCCCGTGAGGACAGATCATGCAGATTCCGGCGTCAAGCTGTTGTGGCAGTACTAAAAGTCCTCAATACGCATTAAAGTATCCCCCAATAAAATCCCTATTAATTAAGGACTAGAATAAGGGGGTTCCCCATTTATGAGACGGCAGATGTTTGTTATCTTCCTTTTGTGTGTTTTTTGCGTGGTGCGAGGCAAAGGCAAGTTTCGAGAATAACACAAGGACTAGAGAGAGGAAGGAGAAACACGGTTTAGGGTTTAGGGTTTAGGGTTTAGGGTTTAGGGTTTAGGGGTCAAGGGTTTAGGGGTTAGGGGTTAGGGTGCTGTACATCCGGATGCCGGCGCAAAGCCTCTTAGGCCAGCCCCAGCCCTTACAAAATCGCAGCCTCCAGGCCCCGGAGCCCTAAGAAGCCTGAAGGACCTAAACCTCAAACCATAAACCCCAATCCATAAACCCTAAACCCTATAAACCCTAACCCCTATAAACCCTATAAACCCTATAAACCCTATAAACCCTATAAACCCTATAAACCCTACAAACCCTATAAACCCCTATAAACCCCAAACCCTATAAACCCTACAAACCCTATAAACCCTAACCCCTATAAACCCATAAACCCTATAAACCCTCAACTTCAAGCCCTGGGCTCCCGGAGGTTCTTGGCGCCGCCCTGTTAATGAACGCCCGTAGCTGCGGGCTGCGGTTGGGATGTCTTCGAGGGTTTCCTTTGGTTCGAGAAAGGAAAGCAATAGTGGAAGAGAGTAAAAAAGTATGTTAAAGTACACATGGTATACATATGTGTGTGTGTTCTCTGGGAACCAGATTAGTCCTGATCAGTGGCAGTGGTGGTGGTGGAAGCAGTGGTGGTAGTGGTAGTGGTAGTGGTAGTGGTAGTAGTAGTAGTAGTAGTAGAAGAACAAGAAAGTAGTAGAGAGAATTGTAGGATTTGGGCAGGGTCTGGGGGCCTTCACGAACTCCCTGACATCACGGCCGTTGCGAACAAGCCAAGGGCCCGCAGGCACGTCGAAAAAAGGAGTTTTGCCGGCAGCTCCTTTTTTTACAGGGTGGTGCAGTATAAGGTCCACCAGTCGAAAGAGGGGTTCCCTTGCTGCTATCTTATGAATAGGGTTGCATAAAAGCCTCGAAGCTCCCTGAACCCTATAAGCCCTCAGAAATCTAGAAGGCTTCGGCGCTGAGGGTGGTGAGGAGTGATCAGTCCAGCCCCTGTGTTTGACTAAGCCACAAGCCCTTAGCTTAAATTTTGCAGGGTGAGGGCCGGGAAGGTTCAGGGCAAGCTCCTCAAGAAGCGCGAACTCCTGGCATATGCCTGTGACCACCTGCTGAGGCAGAACCCAGGAGCTGAGCAAGAAGGTCGGTCGCGCGGGTTTGTGAACCTGCGCCCTAAGCACCCGAAAGCCCACGTAGCCAAGTTGCCCGTGCCTTCATGCTGCTTGGCGATGCCAGCGTATGCAGTATACATGGTCCTGGAACCTATAGTATGGGTTTCAGGTTGAGGTGTCAGGAGGCGGCTTCCTTTACATGGAGGTTGGGCCAAACGTAATCCAACTGTGGCTCCATTATTTTGGGCGTTTATATAATACAGTGCTACAAGAAGAAAATCATCGGACATGCTCCGCCCATAGGCTTCCAAGGCATAGCAGCACGGCATTAGAAGCGAGGTGGCCTCTTCTGATTTTTCCAGATACACCGCCTGTGATCAAGCCAACCCAGCATGCCCGACAATCCTCGAAGCCAGATGCTGCAGTTTAGGGTTTAGGGTTTAGGGTGTTTCAGATTTTTTGCCTGGGTGGGCGAAATCCCAAGATTTCGAAACGAAGCCTGTGCGGCCTGTAAGACCTTCGGCCTGCCAAGCTGAGCTCAAGTGAGGTCTCCGAAAGCCCTAACCCTAGGGCTCCAAGTACACATGTAATACCTACATTGGGGTCTAAGGCTAAGGTCTACAAATAAGGGTTTAGGGTTTAGGGTATAATACCTACTGAGGGCTGTTTGGAGCCTTAGGGTCAGAAGCCCTCAGCTCCCGAAGAACTTCAGAGACAGAGCTGCCCTGCCAGTTGCGTGGCCCAACGGCTATTACTCTCCTTCCACAAGCGACTCTAAGCTGCATTTTCAGGGGGTTTAGTGTTCAGGGCTCCGCGAGTAAAAGCCCGAGCCCCGAAAAACCCTAAACTCTAACCCTTAAAAACCCTAAGCCAACCCTAAACCGCTTTTTGGGGGCCTTTTCGCTTCCGAGAGACGTGCAGGGCGGTCCCTCAGAAATGAGCCCCCAAACCCTAAAACCCAAAACCCCAAACTCTGAACCCTAAACCCTAACCCTAACCCTGCCTGTGCTTCGTGGGCCCAGGAGTGGGAAGCGTGGCCGATCGGATCCGGCCGACACCCCAGAAGAGGGCTGCAGACGCTGTCAGGACCAAGGTTCGTGTTTAGGGCTTAGGGCGTAGGGCTTAAGGATTAGGGCTTAGGGCTCGAGCTTAGGGCTTGGGGCTTAGGGGTTTAGGGTTCATAGGGGGTTGCCGAAAATGTGGGTAGCCTTTCTGCGGGTTCCGATTACAAGGATTAGCGTATTTGAGGTGTTGTTTAGGGGGGAATCCCCATTTTGGGAACTGGGGCTTAGATTTAAGCAGGAAGTTGGTGATCCTGTATACCTTCTGCGATGCCTCAGAAGGCTTGGACTTTCGCTTTGGCGGAGATGGGGCCTAAGGGGGTTGTTGTTGGGCTCGGGCTGGGTTGGGGTTGAGAAGCTCTGAATTTCAAGCCCGACGTGCGAATACTCTTTACTTGGTGGCTGGGATGGCTAAGGGTCCGTCTTCTAACAGGAACCCATCCTGTGGACCACAATTTGGAGAGTTAGCCACATGCATCGTTGTCTACTGCAAGGTCAGCCCGAAGACCCCACCTGTGCACCCCAGTGCACCCCCCAAGTCACCAGCTTGAAAAGGCACCGGTGGAGATGTGTGGCACTTACATCAGCACGCTGCAAGTGGGTGGCTTCCAGACTCATACTCGAAGATTCAAGTCCGAACTCTCTACACATGCTGAAGATGAAATGGCCAGGGTCGCCCTGCAATGCATCACTTTCGCCTGCGTAGGCTCCAGGGCAGCGAAGCCCGATCGTGGACTTGACGGCGTCGGACCGAGAGCTGGACTCCCAGAGGAGGTTACCCTAAAAACCCAGACCCTCAAGAGCTCCAGGGCTTAGGGTTCAGGGTTTAGGGGGCTGAACCTGTTGCTCATGGCACCCAAGGCGACTCCCCCCCCCCCCACCCCCGCCTTCAAGGTGTCTGCAAAAGGGGTTCAGGGCTCAGGGCTCCACACCCCTGAGCAGCCCTATTTCTGTGACGAGAAGTTGGTACCGTCGAGCATTGCCCCGTGACCAGCCTGCATTTGCTCGGTTGAGAGAGGTGTCGCTGTGTTGCCTGAATTTGGGCTTGGCGGGTATGGGTTTTTGGTCAGTCTTAGTCTTTTGGGTTTGGACTTGCCAACGGAAGGGGCATGCAGCGTTCAGGAGTGTTGTAGTCTACCGATGTTGGAGTCCTGCGGAGCGGTTCGCCTATGCGGGTGCGAAAAAGACCCTAAAAACCCTTTCCAACCCTATACACCCTATACACCCTAAACCCTTGAAACCCTAAATCCGATACACCCTATACACCCTAAACCCTTGAAACCCTAAATCCTATACACCCTACACACCCTAAACCCTTGAAACCCTAAATGGAGCCACTCAAAGGTCGATTCTTCACATTGACGCCTTGGGAGAGGGAGGTGGGCCCGGCTCCCCAGTGGCATGGCGTGCGCGGGCTGGGCGACTCGGTTCGCTTGTTTCGGTTTATATATATATATATATGTTATGTACATACTTTTTATGTTGTATCCATATGTTAGTTTTGCCGGGCCCGATGACCCACAGCTTGTGCCTGCTTGTAGTTTGGGCATCGGCCCCATATGACAAGCTTCGGTTCTCGAACTCGTCGAATGCCCTCACAGCTACGCAGTCAGTTGCGGGTGTCATACGCCCAGGGACCCATGGCGCGCCGACGAGCCCGTGAAGGAGTATGGTGAGAGCCGGGCCCTGTGCTGTGAAACTCAGAGCAGCTGCTCTAGAACTCCCCCATCTCAAGACACGCCATGGACCCATGACAGCTATTATAGGTACTGCAGGAAGTTTGATCTTGAGCAGGGCCGGAGCTTCAAGGAGTCCTCGGAAATGAGCAAACGCAGCCCGCGCAGCCGCGCATGGGCTGCAATCGATACATGCTCTCACCAAGGGGGTTTATTCAAGGGTTTGCAGAGTATCTGTGCGTCATGAGGTTGCCTTTGAAGAGAGTTGGAGAATTCTGCGATGTGCCCTCACATCGTGCATGACCTGACATCTGGAATATCGAGCGCTGTCGCGGCACCTTGCCCAGGTCCTGGCATCTCACCGGTGCTGATTGTTGCAGCCTTGAGGGGGGGGGGGTGTCGGGAAGGTTGAGGCTTTGTCAGAGGGGTCACATGGCCCAACCGAATTTCTAGCTATATGTCTATATTGTCTATGTTATATATATATATATGTATATATATGTGAAGGGTACACGTAGGCCGCAGCTGTTCAGGCTGAGCTGTCTTCAATTGGCAGCTGCCTCTGGCCACAAAAACCCTAAAGCCCTACGCATCCCCTAAGCCCTAAAACCAAGACCTTATAGAATCCCATATCCCCAAACCTTAAACCCTAAGTCCCTACACCCTACATCCCAAAATCCGAAACCTAAATCCCGAAATTCCAAACCTAGATCCCGAAACCCTAGAACCCCTGAACCCCGAAAAGCGCCCATAGAGGCCGGCCTCTCCGTGCTGGGCTGCATTGTACCGGTTGCCTGTGCCTCAGGACGTGGCGGGGTGTAGTGTAGGGTTTAGGGTTTAAGGGGTTTTCTCGGTCGCCAGTTCGGCAGAGACATCGACGAATTGCTGGGGCAAAAACGATGTGGGCGGGGGCGCG